TTTTTTTTTTTTTTTTTTTTTTTTTTTTTTTTTTTTTTTTTTTTTTTTTAATAGAAAAAAAAGAACAAAAAAAAACACGACGAGTTAGTACAAAACTCCCCGGGCTCGCTCATGACTTTAATTACGGAGCGGGGTCGGGGAACAAGGGGTTGAACATTGGTAACGGTTCGCTTGGTGGGTTAGAATTCCTTTTTTTTTTTCTTTTTTAGAGAAAAAACAACAGAAAAGCAGAAAAAAAAATGAAAATACGCACGGGTGCCCTCGGTTGGTCACGTTCAACGAAGAAACGCGCGGTTTTGAGACGATTTGACGTATTATATTATCACACGATTAGTCAATGTTAACATATTTGTTAATACCTTTAGTTAGTCGATCACCGGTATCATTTATGAATTGTTGAATTGTTTAAAAATTCTGTTTAATTCTCGAACATAGCTAAATATCTCGAAATCAAATTCACCATGGTGATATGGTGTCTTTTTTTGTTAGATATTTTTTCTTTTTGTTTTTTTTTTCTTTTCTTTTTTTCATGTACACGAGAAATCGTCGCAAGCGTGAACGCGTTTCTTCGTCACACCCTAGAGGGTTATCCCGTCGATTCAATCGCGTCTCATGTTAGCAATTGAATTTGTATCTTTTATTCAGTTCTTACTTTTGACGATGAGTTTGGCGGAGGTTTCTACGGTGCCGGCTGACGTGGTAGCTCGGCAGGTGAAAGTGCCAGTGTCTTCTTCGTAGGTGGTTGCTATCAGCAACACGGCGTTGTTGCCTTCGTGAATCATCTGAAAGTTCAAACATTGCCATTTATCATCATACAGTTCGATTCGAACAAAATTAAGAATAAACGAAAAATCGAGAATTAATTTCCAACTCTCTGTAACTGTAACTTTGTTTGTCAATTGAAATATTTAGGGGAAAGAGATTAGAATCACTTGCAATGCAGAGAGTCGAAAATTGTTGAATTCTCTTGTAGTAATTTAATATAGGAGAACAAATTATTTACATAATTTTTATATGTTACAGAGTGATGAACGGGATTTTAAACGCGACTCACCTGGAAATCAGGTGACTGAGGTATCAGGGCACCTTCGCGATACCATTGTATCGTTGGCTTCAGTTTAGCTGGAGTAACTTGAGTCTTGAACTGTGCCGGTTGTCCTTCCAGAACTATTTGATCCTTAAGTGGCGTCAATTTGGGAAGAATGTCAGCTGCGTCCGGGGCTAAACGAAAATGTACAATGAATTATTTAAAAGGACCGGTGAAACTAAATTTTGCAATTCTGTATTGGTGAATAATTAACGAGAACTTACCGAGAACTCTGAGGTTGGCCAAAGTAGTCACATCACCTGCTGGATTCTTGGCGATGCACTTATAAACACCTTCATCCTCGGGGAAGGCCTCAGAGATCCTCAGGGTACAGAGATCACCTTCTTTCTGCATTTGGAAGTACTTGGATGGCTTGATGACCTGCAACCATAAAATAAATTTGCTTAGAAAGGACGTAGAAGAGTATATAATACGATATTCATGTTGCAGTAACGAAAGGAATTTTGTCTTGATAATAAAATACTTGAATAGCTGTATATTCGAACACTGTTATACATATTCGAATAATAAAAGTTTTATTGCATTATAAAAATAATAGTAATAATAAAAAAAAATTCTGTTCTAGTATAACTACTGTAAAGAAATTAAAATCTATTATTTATACCTTGTCGCCTTTTTTCCATTGTACCGTGGGTACAGGTTTCCCTGTGATCCTACACGCAAAGGCAACGGATGTACCCTCTCTTATAGTTTGATCTTTCAACGGCTCCAGAACAGTGGGCGCCTTTTCGACGCCGGGCGTCGTCGGTTTTGCCGCCTTCGCGGGTGACTGAGGTCCTCGAACCGTGCATTCACCGTCGCAACGCGCTTCTCCGGCGCTGTTTATTGCAACGCACTCGTATTTGCCTGAATCCTCTGGCACTGTCTCGAGGATCAACAGGGTGTAAGTATTGTCTTCTTCGAGTGTCTTGTAACGGATGTCTGCGGTCACTTTCTTACCATTCTATAATAATAAATGAAGATGTACAGTTAATTACTATTTTTGGGTTATCATATACATGCTATTTTCCTTCTTCATTTTACCATAAATGGTATCACCGAGCTTAGAAAAATATAAGAAAAGCTTCGAATTCAGAAATCATTAAACAAGTACCTTCAACCAATATACGTCCAAAGGTTTAGTTCCAGTGACCTTGGCGTCGAATCTAGCTAATTGACCAGTAGTAACCGAGGTACTCTGAATGGTAGACAGGAAGCTAGGTGGTACCACTTCTCCTCTTCCAGGTTGTCTCCTACGTTCCTCGACCACCAAATTGGCACTGCACTTGGCTTTTCCACCGCGATTTTCAGCGATGACAGAGAATACTCCAGAATCCTCCATGAATACTTGACGAACGATCAGCACGGATTTCGTGCTGAAGGTGTAGATCTGGAGATCCGGAGAATTCTGGATGGGGAAGTCTTCGCGGTACCACTTGATGGTCGGCAGTGGATCTCCGTCGAACTCGACTTCGAATCGTGCCTGCTCCTGTTCGAACGCTCTGCAAGGTTGTATCTTCTTCGTGAAGACTGGCGGCTTGGCTGGTTTCGTCGGACCCTGAACGATACGCTCCTGAGTCTTCGCTTTGTGCTCCACTTCGGTGGTTTCCGTTGCGGTTATCTTCCTGGTGATCTCCAAGTCGCCTTTGATCTCTTTCTGAGTCTGTTTCTGCTTGGCAACGTGCACTTCGCGACCGTGAACCATAGACTCGGCTGGTTCCGGAGGATACTTCCCTTTCACGCGTTCTACGTCAATGTCCACTTCTGTTGTGTATGGTTTCTTCATGGATTTAGTAGTTGTCTGCGTGGTCTCCTGGGTCTTTTCTTCCTTTTTATCTTCCCTGAAAAATTGGTATTTTTTCTTTACTCTTTTTTATTTTTACTCTGGGAATAACGAGAACTTTGAAAAATGGATAACATGATTTTGAATGCTTCTCGAGTAATTACTCGGTTATATATCTTGGCAAAAGAAGAAATCATACGATTAAGATGATTATAAAATCGTATGAATTGGATTTTATAAAAAGAGAAGCTCTTTTATATCATTAAAGAAGTGGTATTTTATATGCATTAAGAAATAAAGAAATATCAAGATTCATAGAGTGCACTTGAAATTAAAGGATTGGATGTAAATATAGAATACTTACAAGGTCTCTTCATACTGTTGGGCCATTCCCTTGGCCACAGAATGAGACACGACCTTCTCGCCAGGTATAGCGAATTGGTGGGTAGCTTCCCTCAGCCTGCTCTCCTTCAGGACCTGTTCTTCCTCGAGAGTCATGAGTTTGGTGTAATAGTCCTCGTTCTTCTTACTTTTCACGGACTTCTGCCATTCAGTCTCTGGTTCCTTGTAAACCTTTTGTCCAAGGTGTTCCGTGGCGATCTCGACGCCCTGGCTTATGTTATGGTGCCTTTCGTCGAAAACTTTCTCGAGTTCTGTGTTCTGTCGCTCCGTTTGGTATTGGGTCAGCCCGTAATCATACCAAGCTAGAGGAAAGTCAGGTTAGACTTCCGTTTCTCGGATTCAAGCACAATCGACAACGCATGCCAGACGAACGTCGGAAACATTCATCTTTTTATTCAAAATACAGCGTTCCCTTATAATTAATCGTATATTCAAAATGTTAAACCCGGATGATGATAATAAATGATAAAATAAAATTAGATAACATAAAATGTCGGATTACATTTTTCTCTCGTATTTTCAATGGAGGTTCAATGAATATTGAGAGCTTCCATATTTGTATGTGGAAAATGAAATAAATATGAGAAATTTCTGATTAGATAATGAAAACAATTACTCGCTCAAATTGGTTAATCTGTTATATTTCTTTAGATTATAAATTAATTGAAATTAATTTAATATAAAAATAACGGACGAATCCAATGAAGGGAACGCTATATTTTTTAGAAGATTCACAAAGAATCACGGGGAATTACGACACAGTACTTTATTGGCGATGCAACACATATCGACGTCAGCTGCGCGAGAGGATCAGGATGCCCGGAAACCAGGCTACCGGAGACAGAGGTGGACATCCGGATGATTTAGTTAGATCACGTGGTATCACGGTTCCAACATTATTGGAATCACATCGAACAGTTTTGGGTGATTCTCTAATTTGAAACGTCTTTTGGGGTACACCATCGTGCACAGGGATCCAGTACTGTCTCCATTTAATCAGATTTTATATTCCAACGAATCAGACGAATATAAATTTGACTTTTATGGAACACTGAATCTCTGCTGTTCGAAACACTATATAGACAGGAACTAGGTAACTAGGGGATTATATATACGTTTCTTAAAGTAAATAAGTTCATCACGCGACGGGGATTATCAACGTAGATACTAAATACGATATAGCACACTGAGAAATACGGATTCTGTTTCAAATTGATCGATAATGGATAATGAATTTAAGAGAATGTAGAAATAATAAATTAAATAAAGTTCAGATGAAATGAACTCTTTTGACTGATAAAAAATATTATAAATAATATCGTCGAACAGAACACCCGTTTTCTCCAGTGCAGTAAAAATCGTTGGACGCAGGGAGGAAAATATTTTACTTAAAAAAACAAAAAAATATCGTCTTCGATTTACCGGCCTTCGATGAATAAATTAATATTAAAAAAAAATTCGGTGATTCGACATTTATAATTGAAAGTGACTATCGCAATATTTTTCTCCGTGCGTCGTCCGTTCTACACTTGATAAAACAAAAATTGGAAGACACTAATGAACAGATACATATACATGTGTAATATACAACTAAACAAAGTAAACTAAAGAACGAGTTGCTTGAATCTCGATGCTTTGTGTTCCATACCTGAGAACTCTGGTTTGCGAAACGAAGTAGCCGATACCTTTTAGGCGACATTGCTCGAATACGCCCGTCGAAATCCCGAACCCCGAAGAAGAGGAAGAAGCTGCTCGAGTCGCTCGAGGACGATCTTTCGAATCCTTTCGTAACATTTTGCTTTTTTTTTTGACGGAAGAAGGAATAGGGTAGGGATAAAGGTTTTGGTGTTCGAATGGTCTCGAGTGTTTTCATTTTCTGTACTCGAATGGAATGTATGTGTCGTATCGATATCTCATGTACTGTGTTGCGATTGTCGTTTTATCATTCGGTTGCGTTATAGAATAGAATAGGATAGAATAGAATATTCCTTTCTCTTTGATTTTGCATTATTCTTTTTCTTTCGTGTGGTATTTCGTTGTGCCGATGTTCGATATTGACGGATTATAATTTTGTTCCTTGTATGTGCGTACATTCTTTGCGATATAGATGAAACGATTACATTTTGTTCTCGTTTGCAGAATTTATTTGTCTGGTAATATTTACGTGTAAAAGTTTGCAGTCCATTGAATGTAGAAGAATAAAATATGCTTCAGTGAAGTATAATTGCGTTTAGAGAAACGCAAAGAATGCGACGACATGTTCATGTATGTGAAGTTCCGTTCTGGGATAGGAAACTTACGTCTCGGTGAGTTCTTCAGGACACCGCGATAATCGTCGCTCCTTGGTTTCACTGTCAAAGTGGTTTCGGTGCGTGCTTCGCCTACAGAGCTTCTAGCGATCACTTCGACCTTTCCATGATCGTATTGCCTCGTTTTGGGGATGTCCAGATGGTACATGCCGTCGTAAGTTAGTTTATAACGCGATCCCTATTTTATAAAACATTTTATTATTTAAGAAGAATCAAAAATTTTATTTAGAATTTAAAATAAGTCCGTAATTTCGAAAAATGAATATTGGTACTTACATTGACCACAGTGTGTCCATTGATGATCCACATAACACGTGGTCTTGGGTGACCAGTGACACGACAACAGAACCTAGACCAATCACCCTCTTCGACGGTCACTGGCTCAGGTTTGCTCACGAACGTTGGAGGTGCGCGCACCTTCTCTTCTTCGCCCTCTTCCTCAGGTACTCTGAACATATACTCGTTCGTAAGCAAACAGTTCCAATGCAATATTCTATACTGAATAATATCCGAATATTAAAAAAGAATGCTTACATTTGCCATGCAGCTTCCATCTCTCTGATTTTCTCGATACTCTTCATGCCCTTTGGTAGTTGCGACTCGTAAATAATTCCAGGCTTGCCAGCTGTTCGTATCACTGCCCGTGTTTCGTCGAATCCGTAAAGATTCGTGGCCCTGCAAAGATATTCGCCGCTGTCTTCGGGGTAGACCCAGCCGAAGTTCATGGCCACGTAGCCAAAGTCGTAAATAGGAGTGAATCTATTCTTGTGTGGCAGAGGCTTGCCATTGAAGAACCATTCGACTCTCATGTTTGGATCACCGACAGGTGCCAGTTGACACTCGAATTTGGTACTGTTCATCTCGACCAATTCGGTTTGATCTTGGATCTGAGTGACGAAACGTGGTGGCTGTTTCTTGTCCGCATCGTACAGGTCATCCTCTGTGAGGTGGACTTCCGAGGTGTATTTCTTGATGGTGGCTTCCATTTGCATCAACGCTTCCGACTTCTTCATACCCTTTGGTACTTGATTCTGCAGGATAATGTTGGGCAACCCTGTGGGAATAGGAAGTAACGATATGGTAGTAATTTATGTCGAAATGTAATATTTAAACAAAATAATTTAATAGCTAATAAATAATATTAGAGGTCAATTTTATATCAACAAATTTTAAGTACGTAGAGAAATTATAGAAGAAACATAAAAATGAATGATAGAGATGGAATTAATTTCTGGATCTTAAAATTTGTATATATATAATTTTATTTTTAATACATAATATGAATACTGATGCAACTTACTTTACAAATATTTTTTAAATTTATTTTACGGGATATACTAAATTTTAATAAGAGGATGAAGATAAGAAACTTACTTTTACATGATACGGATGCCCTAGTGGTGTCCTCGCCAAGATCATTGATAGCTTTGCACACGTATTCTCCAGAGTCCTCAGGGTAGACGTACAAAATATCCATAGATACGAATCCCATGTCGTACATTGTTCTATACCTATGCCCAGCTGGGATCATTTTTCCGTTTCTGTACCACTCTATACGCAGATTTGGATCATCTTTTGGTTCCACGCGACACTCGAACCTGACCGGTTCGGACTCATCAACGGTTGCTGATTGAATCTGCGTGATGAATCTTGGTGGTTGACGTGGTGGCTCTTCAGCAGGTGGCTCACTAACTGGTCCACGTTCTAACTCTTTCAGTTTCTCGCCACTCATGCCTGAGGGTAGCTGTGAGTCGAAATCTATGGTCTTTTTAGCTGTAACGTTGAAAATTTCTCATTAATATTATTACTCCTGTTTGAAACATTCTAATTATTAAAATCAAATAAACTTATAGATTATGATAATTGATCTACGTACATTTACAGGTTATGGTAGCTTTGGTAGTAGCAGAGCCCCACTTGTTCGTCGCTCTGCAAACGTATTCACCGCTGTCCCTAGCATAAGTGTACGACATGTCCAATGAAATAAATCCAAAGTCGTTGATCTGGTGTACACGTGATCCCGTAGCAAACGATCTTCCATTGTGGAACCAGTCGATGCGCATCGTAGGATCTCCAACAGGTTCGACTCTGCAGTCGAAGTGACTGGGTGCTCCTTCCTCCACTTCGATATCCTTCAGTTCCACAGTAAACTTGGGAGGATTTGGTGTCTCCTCTTCAGTCAGAATCTCGTCCTTTTTATACAAAGCCTCTTCTAATTTCTGAATGCTCTCCGTTCCAGTTTTGAAGTTGGTCGGCAGTTGAGGTTCCAGGATGATTCCTTGACGTCCACGGACTTGCAGCTTGCATGACACAGTGGCTTCGCCATGGCGATTGGTCGCCTTGCAAGTGTACAGACCAGAGTCTCGTTGGTAGCAATTAGCCACTTCCAGAATGACGAAGCCAAAGTCGTGGATCGTCTTGATCCTGGTTCCTGCCAGAAGAGGCTTTCCGTTGTGGAACCATTCGACTCTCATGCTGGAATCGTTGATTGGCGTCAATCGGCACTCGAAGTGCGCCAAGGAGTTCTCGGTTAGAGTCAAATCGGATGGTGTGGTGATGAATTCCGGTGGTTTTCCGGTGTCGTCGTCAGGAATCGCTTGTCCTGGCTCGTTTCCAAGACCTTCTAGCTCAGCGATCTTGTCAATGGTGCCTTCCATACCCTTTGGTAACTGGGATTCCAGTATAATGCTTCGTTTTCCTGTGCACTTCATGGTGCAGGTGGTCACAGCTTCGCCATACTCGTTCGTTGCTCGGCAGCTGTACTCGCCGGAGTCTTCGGGATAGATAGGCGAGATCTCGAGGATCACGAAGCCAAAGTCGCAGAAGGTGCGGAAACGAGAGCCGGTTCGCAGTGGTTTTCCATTCCAGAACCATTCGACCTGTGCAGAACAAAAAATTTTATTGTACATTTAATTTCGATAATTTTTTACCCTTTTTTCGTCAATCTTTTAGGACAGATTTTTGAAACGTTAAATATTCGTTAATTTATTTTAGCCCTACGTCGTATAGTTTACGAGTTAAATTACCTTTAATTTTGGATCGTCAGTGGGAGTAAGTCTAGCTTCAAAGTGCGCGCTTTCGCCCTCACGTAGGCCATCGATGTTGCTCAGTGGTACAGTGAACACAGGAGCCTTTCCTCGTTCTTCGACAACCTTCTCATCTTTAGTGCGGATCAACGAGTCCTCCAAAGTCTGGATCTTCTCCAATCCACCTTCCATTCCTTTGGGAAGTTGAGATTCCAAAATAAGGCTTGACTTGGAGTAGCACTTCAAGGTTGCTTTGGTAGTGTCTTCTCCATATTTGTTGAAAGCTCTGCACTCGTAAACACCAGAGTTCTCTTCGTAACAATACAATATATCCAAAATGACTATACCAAAGTCGTGGAAGGTCCTGTATCTATGTCCATGAGGCAGCTTCTTGCCATTGTAGTACCATTCGACTTTCAAGTCTGGGTCATTGACAGGTGTAAGTCTGGCTTCAAAGTGAGCAGACTGTCCCTCTACTAATTTCGTGATGTCAGAAATCTGCGTGATGAATTTAGGTGGTTCAGCAACTGGTGTCGTCGGTGTGGCAGGTTGTTCTCCACCATAGCTTTCCAGTTCTCTGATTCTGGCTAAAGAATCAGGCTGCAGAGAATCGAGGTATACTCCCCTCTTTCCGAAGCACTTCAGAGTGGCTTTGGTGAAATCTTCACCATATTTGTTGCTAGCCTTGCACACGTATTCTCCGGTGTCATGGGCCATCACACCGGCAATGTCCATCACAACGAATCCAAAGTCGGACACCATCTTGAATCTGGAAGAGTGTCTCAGAGGTTGTCCATTGTGGAACCATTCTACCTTCATGTGAGGATCTCCTACAGGGATCAGAGTGCACTCGAAGTGAGCGGACTGGCCATCCTTCAGACCCTCCAGGGACTGAATGTGCGTTGTGAACTTAGGTTTCTGTCCTTTGGACTTGTCAACACACTCTAGTTCCACACTGATCTCAGCCTGGCCCCATTTGTTGGTAGCCCTACAGGAGTAGGTGCCAGAATCTTCTATCTTGGTTCCTAGGACCTCGAGAACGACCATTCCAAAAGCGTAGACTGTTCTTGTGCGATGACTGGCATCTAATGCTTTGCCATTGTAGAACCATTCGACGACCATTGTCTGGTCACCAGTTGGAGTTAGAGATGCTTCAAAGTGAGCGATCTCTCCTTCAGACAGGTTGGTCAAGTTCTCGAACTGAGACGTGAACACAGGTGGGTGACCTTCCTCGCTTTCTGGTGGAGCTCCTTCTTGTTTCTTCAAGGATTCTTCAAGGTCTTGGATTGCTTCGAGACCTTCCTTGCCCTTTGGATGTTGCGATCTTTCGATGATATTCTCCTTGGTCGAACAATAGATCGTTGTCGACGTGAAGGCTTCTCCTGCCTTATTCCAAGCCTTGCAGGTATAAATTCCTGAATCACGATCGTATACATCGGTAAGGTCTAACGTGACGAATCCAAAGTCACTGGTCATTTTGAACCTGGATCCATGTTCCAGGGCTTTTCCGTTGAAGTACCACTCGATCTTTAGGTTCGGATCGTCTTTGGGTTCTACCTGACCTTCGAGATGAAGTGGTTCAGATTCACCCAGTTTGAACTCTGGCTGCAATGGTACTGTCCAAATTGGTTTAGGATATTCGTGTTCTGGGCCAGCATCTGGTCTCTTGTATTTAGACAAGTAAGCATCTTCGGCTTCCTTGACCTTCTCCAAGCCAGCTTCTCCCTGAGGATGTTGTGTTTGTAAATAGATGTTCTGTTTGCTGGTGCACTTCAGAGTACCAGATGTCTGGGCTGATCCCTTGGAATTCGTAGCCTTGACAATGACCACTCCTGAATCTTCCTCGTATGCATGATTAATGTCCAAAGCGACATAGCCGAAATCGTAAGTAGACTTGAATCTTGCCCCAGTTGGAAGGGGTTTGCCATTGATAAACCACTCGATCTTCATCGTGGGGTCTTTGGATGGCTCCACGTTGCACTCGAAGTGAGCATTGTCACCTTCTACGCATTCTACGTTGTTCAAATGCGTGATGAACACTGGTTCTTCGTAAACTGGTTCTGGCTGTTCCGCTGAGGTGACATGTGGACAGCTTCTCCAAGCAGGTTAGTAGCCTTGCAGGTGTAGATGGCGGAATCATCGGGTCTTAAACCATTGATGGACAGAGTGACAAGACCAAAGTCGAAGGTGCTTCGGAGTCTGGTTCCAGTTTGGAGAGACACTCCGTTCTTGAACCATTCCACACGAAGGTTCGGGTCTGCTCTAGGTTCTACTTGAGCTTCCAGATATACGTGTTGACCTTCCACGAGTTTGTCGTAGCTTTCGAGGTGTTTGGTAAAGACCGGTGCTTGTTGGGGCGTCGTGTCGACGAACATCTCTGGTACTTTGTTCATCTCAGCTTCTTTCAATTGGATTTTCTGCCATGCATCCGGTTGCAGACTGTCAGCATCGATGGCCGAGCGCGTTTTCACCTTCAAGGATATCGAGGAAACTGCTTCGCCGGCTTTGTTGATCGCCTTGCAGGTGTACACACCGGAATCCTCCGAGATGACTTTCAAGATGTCCAGGGTCACGTAGCCGAAATCGTGACTTACGTGGAACCGAGATCCTGTTGGGGACATTCAAGATTTCGCGTAATGAAAATTAACGAGTCACGCGAATAAAGAAATATATTTGGTCGTTTCGTATAAGCTGCTTACCCATCTTCAATTCGACTCCGTTTATGTACCACTCGAATCTCAAACTGGCATCGCCAACTGGGACGACTCTGCATTCGTATCTAGCCATTTGACCCTCCCAGAGCTCGGTGGGTCCAGTCAATAATTGGGTGAAGATGGGTTTGTCGAATACTTTCTCTGGTTCTTCTGGACGACTTGGTTTGTCAGCTTCAAGTTGGGCGATCTTACGTTGCGCTTCGGGGTGTTGGGTGTCTAATTGAATGCTTGCTTTGCCTAGATACGAGGAACCGACGATACAAATTAATAAAAATCTCAAATTTGAAGATAATATATCGTTGAATGTAATTCAAGATACTGACTTCTTATCTTCATCGAAGCAGTGGTGACTGCTTCACCAAGTGGGTTGGTAGCGCGACACATGTAGACACCTTCATCTTCCTCTCTCACGTGACTGATATCCAATGATACGTATCCGAAATCGTGGACTTTGGTGATTCGTGAACCTACGTAATTCACAAGTGGCATAAGTTTCAAAAATTTCCAATTTTGAAACCTCAAAGTTTATCTTGTCATGTTAAAGTACACTTACTTGTCTCAAGTGGGATTTCATTTCTGAACCACTCGACCTTCAACGTGGGATCTCCTACGGGGATCAACCTGCACTCGAAATGTGCAGTGTGTCCTTCGGGAATGGCATCGATGTTCTGCAATGGTTGAGTGAAGACTGGTCTCTGTTTAGTTTGTGGTTCCGGTACATCCGGTCTCTTCCAAGGTTGCTGAGCCTCCAATTCGCGGATTTTATCCATTCCTTCAGGTCGTTGAGAGTCCAGTATAATGCTGTCCCTTGGAATAACCTTCAGCTCGATCGAAGATACGCATTGGCCAAGAGCGTTAATAGCTCGTACGGAATATTCTCCTGCATCTTCAGGAACGGCGTGGCCGATATCCAGAGCCACGTATCCAAAGTCAAACGTCACGTGGAACCTGGAAGCCGATGGCAGAGGCTTGCCATTATGGAAGAATTCGATCCTCAAGTTGGCATCGTGAAGAGGCTCCACTTGGCACTCGAAGTGGGCCGTTTGTCCTTCGTACACCTCGGTGGTACCCTAAACGAAATTTCCAAATTTAAAAAACAGGCAAACATCGCGATTATACCGATATCGTATAACAAAGAATTTCGAAAATCTATAATTTTCTAACACATCTAAAATATTAAACGTTCGAGATCCTAGAGTAGGAAAAGATCGAGATTCAGTGATGAAGAGAATATTAAAATTGGAGATTTTTCTAATCGAGAGAACATTTCGAATTTTGCATTATGGAAATTATTAAGAAATTTTTACCCTGAGCTCAGTGACGAATCTGGGTGGTGTCACTGGTGGTTCTTCGACTTCTAAACGTGCTGGACGGCCTTGAGCCTCGAGTTCACGGATTTTCTCGAGACCATCTGGATGTTGAGTGTCTAATAGGATACTGCGGCGAGCTGGAGAAAAAATCTCACGTCAGAAATAGTCTCACTCTTTAAATTGTTAAAAATAGGACTACATAAATTACTACTTTGATCTATCCAACAATTATATTCCTCTCTATCGCGAGCACGAAGAACATCGATTATTTCTATCACTCTTCGTATATTCGAAATTTTGCTCGATTTTTGGTCCCTTTTTTAATTCCTCGAACGTGACACGTCGATTGTGAGGTTTTAGTAACTTGCAAATATTGCAAATTTCTTTTCTCTGATATTGATCGTCACCAAAATTCAGTTCCGATTTTCTTCTCCTTTTCAGACAAGCTTCATTTCTCGAATACAATTTGGAACATCGACCAATGGTGCTTTTATAACGATTCCTCTCGCATGAACAATTTCTATTGATTTTACTGGTATCTATAAATTGTTTATCATATCTGCCAGTCGTTAAAGCAAATGAACCGAATTTAGGTTTGGAAACCGTGATATTTCCTCTTCGGAAATGTGGAGATGGAGAAGATAGTCCTCTTTTCTGATTATATTCGATTCTGTCGATTTTTTCGGGATATCGCAAGGGTAGAAAACGAGGGGGAAGGTAACATTGGTCTTTCGCTAAGAATTACATTAAATTTTGGTTAGAAACCGATACCAGTGCTCAACACGAATTTCAATCTGCAATATACATTGGGTAATTCCTGTAGAGTTTACTTTTCTGAACAAGAATTCGTAATCGAAATTGCTCTATCGCCCTCAATTTTCGAAAAATGTGAGTTTTTCTAAAGAGGCACGATTTTTAGATAAAATGAAGTATTACGTAATCAGTAAGAACGTTATGAGGTACGTTGTTATCTTAAAAATTGGGTGAAAGTGTCCCGAGTATATCAATGTCTACAATCTAATTATTTGTGCTTCTGAATAACTATAATTGGTCATCAATAAGTAACAATAAGCCTCCGAGCCTTTCTACGTATATTCTGGTATTCTTACATCAAATTTTTCATCTGCTATAAATATGATTCAAAGTAGTACATTCTGTATGTTTTCCTGAAGTAAGAAATGATGGAACAGAATTCTTGAAACAATTTTCAATTCGATTAAATCGCCAATGCCATAGCTACTCGTAAACCGAATACCGAATGCAATGTAAATGATACATATCGGTCTACGAAAACGAAAAATATAATTCAATATAACTCTACATATAAACGACATAAGTACATACGTATTTCCAAAATGTATTTACAACGTTGTAATTTATTTATCTTTTTGATGACCGTTAATGATTTCTATAATGCCCAAATTTTAAATAACCAATTATAAATTAATAAATAATAATGGCATTATTACAGAACATAAACTACTAAAAATAAAAGAAAATATTATTTACGTGTAATTATTGAATGTTCCTTTATGCCATTGCCAAATATGATATATAGTATGAGAAAAGAATAAAAAGATGAGAGGAAAATGTGCTACATTTATTTATGTCATTTTACTGTTTCATTTCACCCGCCCTATGTGTCACGTGGTATTAGATTCTGTAATTCGATCAGCGCCATCTATGATTTTGGACCAAATGATAAGGAAAGTGATAGGAACATAGAATGTACAAGGAGGTTGTTTAATCAAAGTCAGGTGATTAAATAAGGACGGAAAACGGATAGAAAAAGACAGAAAGGCTCCGGCAATGAATATTAACTAATTACTCAATTCTGGCGTGTAATTTATGAACTTTTGTAGCCTTATCGCAAAGCTGAAACCCTGAGCAACATTCTGATTCTACTTTCGTACATAAATTGTTGTTAATTAGTGTGTTAAAAATAATTACTTGACGGCGTGGGTAATTTGATAAAAACGACGACCGAGGATGTCCATAAAAATATTTTATTATGTTCAAAACTAGAAAAAAAATATGATCGAAAGTCATATGAGAAGATGCGCAAGAATATTCTTTTTATAATGAATGCATAAAAGTAAAAAATTAATTACTTGAGAGATAGTTATTAATGAGAAACCATTGAGATATTCGGCAACATTTTAAACACGCCATGGAATAATTAATAATAATAAATTAATTAAAAAGAAATTATTATCGAAAGTTATATGAGAAAGTTCGCCAAGGACCTGTCTTTACGATGAAGTCATAAAAGTTCATAAATTAATCGCAGAAATTGAGTAATTTGTTAAATTTCCATGGCCGAATTGATTTATTAAGAACCTCAGGTTCCGTAAGATGAGTACAGATGGCGCCAGGAGAGCATTTATAACCATATTACATGAAGGGCGGAATACAGAAAACAATATATCGATCGAAATAACTAATACACATTCTCTTCCGTTCTTATTATTCGCTTAAGAAACTCAAAGTTTTCTACATTTTTTTAATAAGTTCAACATAAGCAGTGGTTTCAATTAGACAATCAGCATTCGCTTCTTTACCTGGCACATTATGTCTGGAAGGGTACGCCTTTTCAATGCAAATATAAAAGATCATAAATTAATCACCAAAATTCAGTAATTTGTTAATTTCTCTCTAAGTGAGTAGGAGAGTGGGGAAACAAGAAGAAGATTGCAAAAAAACGGGAGAAACATTGTTGTGTCCATCGAGCTATGCCTACATCACGGAAAAGAATGTAAGCCTTTATATAAACATAACCTTCAGTTGTAAATAAATAGTGTGAGACATAAACTATTGTTTTTTCATCTTTTATTAGTGACAGCAGAACCTGGTTGTAAAGTAATAATATACTGTTGAAACAAACAGGCATGTGCAACAGGGGAAAGATATTGGATTCGTGGAATATCATCAACGTAGAGCCATTAGATGCCAATAATTATTTTTTATGGTAAAAAAAAAATTGAAGCAGTAATAGAAATATGTAAGGTATGATATGTCTATTGGTTTCTAGGTCTGCGAACTGAATGACAAGACAGAAATATTTCATGGTTAAGTCAAAGGGGAATAAAATTATTTTAGATTATGGCCTCCTATAACAAGATGTAGAAAATACAGTGAGATTGAAAGGTATGTTGTATTTTTGTACTGAATGAATATTAATATCAGTGGTTGAAGTCACTGATCAATGGTAATGTGTTAAGTTTCAGAATGATGGTGTTGTGGTAGATAGAGACAAGAGAGAAGTTCGAATGAAAGCAGTGAGAAGAGGAAATGCATATTATATGGAATCAAGATACAGAAAAGGGGCAGCGCATTTCTGGACAGAGATAGATGGCATCTACATGTAAATATGAAGAATTCTTGTAGGAAAAGACACAGATAGCTGAAGAAATAAGAAGATTGAAGATATGGAAAGGAAATCAATCTGTCAAGAAGTCGAAAAGTTCTTATATACTCAGATAATGGAGGTGAGTTTATGGGCAAGACCTCAAGGTTTGGTTACATCAAAGGAAATAAAACATGATTTGTTTTCAGCCAGGATACCCTCAGTGTAATGGAGTTGCTGAGAGGAAGAACAAATCCATCAGAGAGATGACAAGAGCACTTATGATGAATTCAGACTTGCCAATATATTTTTGGGCAGCAGCAGAGTACAGCTGTCCATATAAAAAACTGCACGAAGTTAGCTGACCATTGAAGAACTTCTTATGCTGTTTAGAAGGAGAGAAAGCCAAACATGAGGTATTCGAAAAGATCTTGCAGCATTTCTTATGGGTTGAATAAAGGGTGTTTAGTATACTAATTTGGACCACAAACTTACACAGAAATATTTTCAGAATATGTATCAAATAATTCATATAGAATATGCTAACCATAAAAGGATCATGTGAGGAATGAATGTGAAGTAAAATTCTATGGGACTGTGACACTTGGACTTGATTGAACCAATAAAACCAATGTCAAAAGGAAGTAAAAGGTACATTTTATCTATTCATGATTCTTCGAGGATAATTATTGGTTTTGCTGTTATAGGAAGAGGGACAGACAGCTGAGGAAATAAAAATATTGGTAACATTGAAAGAGAATCAATCTGTCAAGAAGGTGAGAAGTACTTATATGCTTAGACAATGGAGGTGAGTTTGTGAGAGAAGACCTCCAGGTTTGGTTAAATGAAAAGAAAATAAAATATGATTTGATTCCAGCCAAGATAACGCAGAGCATTGGAGTTGCTGAGAGGAAGGCCATTCTACCATAACTTAATCCAAGATAAACGAATATCAAGAATTATTAGGGAAACTCATGTATTTGAAAGCTTATGGCTGTTCAGACATCTCATTTGCAGTAAGATGTTTGTCATAGTTTAACCCTGGTCCAAAAATAGTGTACATGAATGGATTGAAGAGGATATTAAGATATTTCAGGTTGAGTATTGTTTTGAAATTAGGAAAGGAACAGAAGCCAATAAAATTTTTTTTTGCAGATATATAAACTGATATATGAAGACAGACTGGAGAAGGAGGCGTGAAGGATTGTAATATGTGACAGATTGAATACAATAAATATAGAAAATTAAATATAAGTTCTTACATACAAAAATGTTGTTATATACGAGATATAGTAAAAAACTAAGAATTTGCTAATTTATCACGTGCCGGATAAAGAAACGAATCCTGATTGTCTAACTAAAGCTCAGAGTGGTCCAAATCTGCTAAATAATGTAAAAATCTGTATGAGGATGTTAAGAGAATAAAAGGATGAAAGAAAAATGTGTTACACTTATTTATGTCATTTTATTGTTTCATTTCTCCCGCCCTATGTGTCACGTGGTATTAGATTCTGTAATTCGATCAGCGCCATCTATGATTTTGGACCAAATGATGAGGAAAGTGATAGGAACATAGAATGTACAAGGAGGTCGTTTAATCCTCGTCACGTGGTTAGATAAGGACAGAAGACAGGTAGAAAAAGACAGAAAGGCTCCGGCAAAGAATATTAACTAATTACTCAATTCTGGCGAGTAATTTATGAACTTTTATAGCCTTATCGCAAAGCTGAAACCCTGAGCAACATTCTGATTCTACTTTCGTACATAAATTGTTGTTAATTAGTGTGTTAA